ATTCTTTTTTTTTTTTTTTGCATTCATCAGTTATCGCATCCAATCTTATTATACACATACTAATTTTTCATGCCATTTACCTGCTCCCATTAACTTAGAATCTTATGACGTTTACTTATCTTTTTGTTGAGACTGGTATAAAGGTCTTTTACCGTAGGGAATCGTGATGTAATCGGTCCAGACGTAACGGATGGTTACGAAAACAATGAACCACTTGCTCAGCCTATATGTAAATTACCGATTGTGACATCGTTTGAATATATTAAACCAACGCTCCCCACTGAGGGCTTCCGTCTATAAAATCGATATAGATCTGCGGTGCGGAAGCAGCTAATCCTAAGTAACATCGAAGTTACACTTAATTGGTGACTTCGAGGATATAATTGGATTACATACCACAGGGCGTCGCTATTCAGGCGTAGTTTACCTTCTAACTGTTATACTCCTCCCCTCTCTGAGATACTCCGGTTTCAGCTTCTTAAATCTATCTTTAGAGGGACCAGTATAATCAAGTGCTCGGACGTCTGCCTTCACGATTCCTTTATACCCTGTGTCATTCCCAGATCGTCGGGCCTCTACCAGATCTAAGAATGCATCACTTGAATCCACTGTGAACGCTACCGTCTCGAGGGTAGGTAACATTCCTCTGCGGATTATAGAATCGATAGTTGCTGGGGGTATGGAGGTGGCAGGGAGAGAAAGGTTGACCAGGCTTGGTAGAACCGCGAGCAAGGAGTCGACATCACCCAGTCTAACGAGGAAAGGCGATGAAAGCGTTTTTATCGAGCAATTTGAGCGTTTTATTAATGACAGAAAAGGCCATTGAGGCCAGCGGAGAGTACCGAAGCTCGTATATATGTAAAACGCTTCCAAGCCAGGCGTGACGAGGGGTGCAAGGAGGCGGTTGAATAAAACCAGCGTAGACACTGTATTGACTGTCAATGATCGGAGATTTGGAAGGATTAAGGTTGCGGGGTCAGACGAGTTGGTGAACGAGAGGTCATTATTCCCAAAACTAGTTGTAAAATTAACAAGTTTTGTGCATTGACCCAAAACGCGGAATATCACCGCAAAAGGAGGGGATGCGGCCCCAGAGAAGGTAACATCCGTTAGCTGAAACCATGGTAACTGGAGTGTAATGGATGGGTTGAGATGCCCCCAATTATTGAACCGTACCTCAAGCCTACGAAGACAAGGCGTAGCGTCGAAAATTCTGAGCGTGTTATTAGCGAGCATGTCGAGATGTTCGTTAGTAAATGCCACGAAAAGAAACTCCAATGAGTTGAAAGAACCAGCCGGGAGCTGGAAAAATGACAAATACGCCGCTTGCTGCAATTTGAGTGAAAGATTTTTAATTCGAGAGGTGTAGGGCATTATGAGATTAGTGACTATGTCTTCTCCGTAGCTTGGGAGGATAGAGACCAATGAAAGCGAAATCGAAGACTCCTTGGTACGGTCGATTAATTTGTGTGCCTGTACCGTTGTGTTACTGAAGTTGTCGGGAGTAATATTTATATATAGGCGATCCCAAATGCGCGGCTCGTCAAGGGCTACTTGCCTCCACGTAAGGCATACATGGACCAGGGTCCATGAAAATGGGGGTTTATGAAATGGCAAGCTTATAACTCCTTCCTCTCCGTCGACACTGTGAACAAAAATTTCTCCCAGTACCTCAAGCGGCACTCGCTTCCAAGGTGCAACGGCGATACAGAGTTTCTCCTGACGCTCGAGTAGCTGGTTATGGCGCTGCACGAGATCAGAGATGGGCGAATAGTCCGATGTCATATCCGCGATTATCTCTCGTAACTTGGTCTGGGTAAGAACGAGTAGTTGTTTCGCAATGACAAGTTCTGGGTCCGGAAGAGGTTGGTTTGAATTTAATCCAGCACCGAAACCATCTAGATGACGCCACAAAACATTTTCATCCATGTTTAAGCGTTTTGCCGTTTTGCTTTCGTTTTGAGTTTATGGAAGTCATGAACGCAAGTTGCCAGCAGGGGTAAGACCGTCGGAAAATGCCATCAAGGTCACGGCTACGGGTGTACAGCCACCAGCTACATCCTCAACCACAATTCTTCTTGTCCTCATTCCCTGCTTCTCAATGTTCAACTGAGCACACACTTCTGGCACTGGATGCAATCCGTAGTGCTAGAAGTGGTGTTCTACGTCTTGCTCTGGCGCTGGAATATCATTCCTTGACTTGCAGATTTTTCCGGCTCCACGATTGCCGATTCGCACTTTCTGTTAAACACGATCTGAACGCGAGAACACATTGAAACCCAAAATACACCCATGATATCCCTCAAGGAGAGTACTAAACGATGCCTTATTCCACTAGTTTGATTTTTAAATCGCTTCATCATCGGTTCCTTCCTTTAAAAGTGTATAATCATTAACCCCTATCTCCCTGTTGGACCCCGTATTCTACCTTCGTTATACAAATCTTCAATATGTTTAGTGGGTTTGGTAAAACAAAGATAGAAAGAGACGGCTCGGGACATATGCAAGACCTTACTTCACAGGACACCCATTACATGTAAGTCACTTTAGACTTTAGATGAACATGAAAAATCTGGCTCCGTTGGCTAGAATTGAGACAATGATAGGTTCGTTATATATATTGGTTTCGGTGAGTCTCAATTAAACTATGAGTGTTACGTTCCATTATTTAAGCAAAGTTGGAGGTATGAGTATGAAAGTGGTAATATTTGGTAGGTGTTCGTGTATTCCCTGCTTGGAAACCGCTCTGCCTTACCATCCAGCATATAAATACCTGGCGATGGCATCGTCATATATTCCCTGTGCATCACCCCAATCGTTAAGACGTTCGACGGTTAAAATTCTTGACGCATGTAAATTTTGCATGTGCTCAACAATAGTTTGCTCAGTTTCTGGAAGAAATTGATGGGATTGGGGGGCTGCGAGATATATTGAAACCTTTGATAAAGTTTTGAACCCGTCCTCAAGGAAGAGGAGATCGAGTTTTGATGTCCATTCTACCATGTCGGGTGCTGTATCCGCGATCTGATTTGGATAAAGGACAAGGATGATTTCCTCTAAACGGTTATTCCCTTTCATAGCCTCCAACGAGTTCGTAATCCAGGTGGTGTTAGCGGTAAAACTGCCAGAGCCTATATCCAACGCGAATGAGACAGCGAGGCACCGCAAATTGATCAATGCCGCGAGGTTGATTGCTCCTGTATCAAATCGCGGTTCTGAACAGAACAATTTCTCGGACAGTGAATAACCTGACTTACATGGGCAGACAAATACTCACGGTAGGAAATCCAACTGGAATATAGACGATACACACTGACTTCATCCAATGTTCCCCAGATTAGACATTCTAGTTTCTCTGCAACGAAGCCCATGATTTTCTCAAGGGCCATAGTCTCCTCGAAGTAAGGTCCGTAACCACTGATTTTCAATGCCCTCAGGTCAGTCACCTTCAACTTTGATTGGGGACTCGTAAGGGCTATGAATAACTTAGCAAGGCCGCTCCTCGCTGTAACGCAATCAAATGCAACAACTTCCAATTTCCCTTCAACGATGTCAGAATAGTTACCCCTTTCTGGCAGGGATAGCCCTCCTACTTTGTCTTGCGTGAGGTCGACGTTAGTTAGTGTTAAATTCGTGAGCCGAGAGAGTTGTGGAACGAGATGATCAATAGGGAAGTCTCGCGTGTCGGTGAGGGCTAGAGTACTGAGTCTGGGCAACGCACTGAGACCAAGTATTGTATGTCGGAGGGCTATATCAATATGCGTCCAGCTTGGTATATGGTGAAGCGAGAGCTTTCTGATCTGTTGGAGCATGGCAAGAGCCGAGAGTGCCTCGCTTTCCCCACCGGTGGTGCTGTTTGTATCTGAAGTATGAGTGTCCTCGATGGTCAAAATGAGATCTCGGACATAAAATGCGAGCTCAACATTTGCGCTGAGTATCGATACCAGCTTTTGCGTATTCGGTGATGGATTTCCAGAGCCATAAAGGTTTACGATGATTTTTGAGAAAAGTGATTGTTGACTGGGGCGTAGGAATGAGTGCGCAACAAGGGATGTATTTTGGAGAGTGTGGATGTCGTCTCGAAGTTCATTGATGATTTTATGTATGATTTCGGGGGGAATCTCAGGCGATGAGTTGGATGCCATGTTAGACGAGGGATATTATCAGATGGAATCAAGATAAGGCCAAATCCTGCCAACACCCATGAAGGGACGCACAGTGAAGAAGTGAAGTTAATTCAAAATCAGTGAAAAACAAACTGGATAGTAGTGTGCCAAAGGTGGTGAAAACCTGAATGGGCTACTAATCAATTACAAGTCCTGTGCCACCCCTACAAGCAACGACACACAATTAGACGAGCTTTTGTGGACAATCGGTGTAGATCCAGGGGGTATGGACTCCTGTAAATGGCGAAACAGATAAGACAATGGAGAAATCCGAAAAACCGAGCAGGGCCCTGTAGCTAGACTTGATATGGACTTGTTACTGTCCAGCGTACATATGAAAGATAGGAGAGAGAAACTGTCAGAAACGGGTCAGAAAAGAACGCAGCACGTGTGTACGATCTGGGCCTTCTGCTTTGGGTCCTACCATTGTCCATTTTCGAGTTCTATTTATAGATTATAGAACGAGGTCTTTCCAAATCCCATCCCCCTCAGGCCTCGGACCTTATTCTCGAGAATATCACGTGAATATTGGAAAACTTCATTTGCCCCATGTTCGGAGCACACCGCCTCTAAATTTCTAAGATAATGCATACTTTTGTATCTTATACTGGTTTGAGTGGGCCCTTGCATGCACGGCAGGTCCAAGTTCGGTCCCTCTTTAGATGTTTCCACATATCCACATTTTTAAAGCCATACCTACTGCCACCCCTGTTTCCTACCAAACACCATACCCATTATACACCATATAAAGCTAATCTTTCATTTATCAAGTCATACTTAATGAAAGTATGACGTATAGCGCATAGTAAGGTCTAATTACATTACACACTTCACTCCTTGTTAGTATATCGGTTCAGTACACGCGCCTGTCATATCGAAAAAGTCGGGATTAGTACGCGCGAGAGCTGGGTTCGACTCCCAGACAGGGAGAAACCTTTTTTTTTGTTTGTTTTATGATAATTTCATTTCTCTGCTTTTAACCTCTCTTTTCTTTCCTGCTAGACCGCTCAATCCTTCTATAATACCGTTCAAGTCCAAATTACTGGTAAATTCAGTAGTACTTGAGTGCATCCAACAAACAGAACATCCAGTACTGCAAAATGTCAAACTCACAAAATGTGTCTTTATAGACTCCTCGGGAATTCACAATGAGATGTCCATTCAGTTATACATAACAATTGCTCATAATGTTCGTTAAAGTATTTTTTACAATAAAGTATGGTATCAGCGCAACAAATCATGGAATGTACAAAATCAATCAAGAGGAATAGGGTTGCCAAAAAGCCTGAAGAAGAGAAGCGCCATGCGCAATTAGAAAGGTAAATTATACCAAGAACGTAGGACCTAGACAATCGTGAACCTACATGCCACATCCGTAAGCACGCATTGAGGAGACAACAAGGACAAAAAAAGCTCACGCATCAGACCTCCACTCTGTACCCTTCGCCGCCAGGTCATCCTTCTCCGCAGTCCTGTTGACCCACCCTGCGGGGTGCCCAGCAGTCGACAGCAGAGAATTACGCTTATTCGACACAACCTTGAATTGCGAAGCGCCCCGCTCGTGCGACTTGACAGAAGCTTCTTCCTTCTTTCGTTTGAACAGCTAAAGCAAGCAAAGCACCAGGTGTCAGTCAGGGAGTCAAGGGATGTGATAATATACCCACGTCTTGTAAGACCTGCGTTCGACTTTCACCCTCCCTCTGCTTCGCAACCTCCATCTTATCCCGAACACCGACGAGCTGCCCATCGGCATACTCCAGACCCGTCCTGATCGAGTCCGCAATCGCCTTCTGAATTTGTTTTTTTACCAAACCGGTTGCCAGGGGCTTCAACGTCTTGTACAAGAAATCATGTTTCGAATCTCGGATGCTGAACTTGAGAGTGTCGACCTTGACGTGGACGTCGTGGACCTTGAACACCGACGAACGGTCCTTTCCTGCACTGACTAGAACGACAGTAGCCTGCGCCATAGTTTTAAAAGGGGGAGACTAAGAAAAAAGTGAGGTGTACGTACAGTCAATCCCTCTCCACCGAGGACAACATCTGCAAGACCCGAATCTGTCAGCTTAGGGACACCTGTCTTCTTCTTGAAGTAGAATGCAACATCCCGCATATCAGCTTGCATCTGCCCGAATGTCAACGTAAAGCGGTGGTGTGATTCGTCGGTGATCGCAGAGTATGGCGAGAATCGGACATAATTATGAGCCTCAAGTGCAATAACGTTGGGGAAGAGATTTCGTCCAGAGAGCGTGAGGTTCTCCACAACGAGATCAAGAGATTCATCGGTATATTCGATACGTGGAATGGGAATGTATCCAACCTACAAGATGAGACGGTGTTAACGGTGGATTGACCTGATAGGAAGGGAAGTCTTACCTTGTCAACGAGCTCAGGCAAGATAACTTTGCGAACGTCGTTCCATAAATCCTTTTTGAATTTCAAACCACCCTCACTATCGAAGAGAAGGTCCCGGGTTAAGCGGGCCCAATCCTCACCGAAGCGGGCATTGATCTATAGCTACGTCAAATTTACGATATAAAAAGAGGCTGGGCATAAAACGCACTGGGTCATCACCCATCGCCTTGAACCACTCCCCAACGCTTGCGAATAGGTTATCGAAATGGTCCTTGTACTTATCATCGTAAAATTGACGGCCTGATTCACGAAGGCTTTTCGCCTGTGTGTTACAGTCTGGCTCCAAAACGTAGCCGGGTTCCAGTAGAACCTAAAAATTGTGAGTTAAAAAGGGCCAAACAATGAGAAGTGGCTAGACGCGCCTTCCTAACGTACGCGTCGACAGATCGGAACCAGTTCTTGAGCTGCTGGTCACGCCTGGCATCATCAGCGAGCACGTTGAATGCGTCAACAATTATTCCCATGCTTTTTCCGTTCGCGAAACGCTCCAATAAAGTTCGGATTTCCGCAATGGCGTTCTTCAGTGCGCGATCCTGAAAAGTACGATATTAGTAAACATTTCAAAAGTAATATGACTCATCGATACTCACTTCTTTCACTCCGCTCGCGCCTTCCTTTTTCTGGTTGGCCATGGTGCGCCCATGTGTCGCATACTCTTCGATATAGGAGAGTAACCACCGGAGAGAGTCCTGGTAGTCATCATGCTTCTGACATTCAATGATCACCTACATGGCACAAAGGAGAGTTTGAGCGTGGTCAGGGTAGAAAAAAATAAAGCTAAGACCTTCTTCCCTCGGTAAATAAACTGGTCTCGGCGCTCCTCAGGGAAATAGTCTTCCATCAAGAACTTTTTACCCCGCTCAACGCGGTCTTTGTGTTCTTGAGGAACGCGGTCTGTAAAATTATCCTTTTGAGAAAATATCAGTGATATGAACAATGAAATGCATCGAGTATTTACCCTGACGCCCCTCATCCGATCCAGCATTCCTTTTTTCTTCGCCTCTGTTTCCTCCTGTGTTGAAGCATCGCGGGCCCCCACCCCGTTTTCGCGAACTCCTTGCGCTTCGTCCCGAGCACCTTCCATATTTCCGCGTGCCTTGTCAACACGCTCATTGCCTAAGATACCCCGTGCCTCACTCTGAAGACCCTGCGTATCCGCCTGGCCCATTCCGCTTTGAACAGCTCCTAAACCAACGTTCTTCGCGTCGCTACGATCCATCCCTTGGCCGACGTCACTAGCATCGCGCTGCCCACTAACAGCGCCTCCTGTTCGTTCATCGACGTGTCCCTTGGCGCCTTCTTTCGCTCGACTCGCTTCACCAGCCAATTTATCCCGAACCTGTCCTGCGGGCCGCTCTTGACCATCCTCTCCTCGAATCTTTGTTTCTCCTTCGCGTGGATGCTGTTTCATCCGCACATCCGTTCCAGGAACACGGGCCTCTAACACTGGGGTTTCATTCTTCCCAGCGACGCGCCCGCCTTCGGTTATAAATTGGTCTTGTGGTGCGGACTCGTCAACACGGGCGAGTGCATCAGGATCCGGTGCGATATGACCTGCAGCCTTCTGCGCGGTTTTGGCAAGAAGGTCGCGTCCTATGAGAGAAAAGTCGGATAGCAGTTTCCGAACTTCGGAGTTGGTGAGGACGAGAGATAAGAGTGTGCGAAGATGTTGTACGGCTGTAACATGTTTATTAGGAATGAAATGACCACGGAGGTAAAAATAGGACGAACCTTCTTGAGAATCGCTGTTGGCTTTTTCCCTGTCAACAGGAGCTTCTGTCCCTGTCACCCCGCCTTTTATACCTTCCTTGTCGACATCCCGCGTATGCCATACGAAATTCTGAAAAAGTTCGTCGGCATTCTTCTCTTGTACCATCAACCGCGCTGTTTCAATGATGTCGCGTGTGTCTTGAACAAGTTTCTTGCCATCTGGAGATAGCTTCTCGGTATGAATGGGAGAGTGGTCGAGTACGTATTGAAGTGTATGGTCAATCTGCGCATTGGAGGGAAGGCGACCGAGGCGGAAGGCTTCGATGACGCCATATAATCTTATCTGAGGGACAAGCAAACGTCAGGCCAATTTCATCACGAAAACTAAGCGCATTTAGTGTACCTTCCTGTCTACGTCTGCATCCTTAGCTTGTTTATTGACTGGATCTACAACGGACCCAGCAGCGGGCTTATTGCTGATATCTTTAGGTGCGGCAGGGAGAGACATCGTGGGGAAATGGGGGAAATTATGGGCGACTCGGCAATGAAAAGCGGTTTATATAGGTTTGGGATGGATTGATGATGACACAACGACGTCATGGCGTAGTGGTGCGGGAGTGATCGAATTCGAAATGGTTATTGTGGTTCGAACGCCGCTGCAAAATTATTTTCCTTTTTCGGCGACCGTGTTGTTATTGATGGTTTTCAGGAAATTGCCGAATAAGCCCGCTGCCTTCAGGCCAAACAAGTTTGAATCCGCAAAAAAACTTTCTTGTACACCCGCCCGAATGAAGTGCACAGAGGCTCAAAACAGGTCACTGCACGCATGAACTTATCGAATATGCACTATCCATTCCATAGGAACCCGTATTCACTCCTAATGATGTCAATCGCGGCCGCTAGTTCAAAATGCTCCACAACACCTGGACACCATGTCATGTAATCACAATTCATCCACGGTACGACCCTTCAATATTTGAAGTTAATTCGTGCCAATTTATCCTTATTTATTTCAATTTCAGCTGTCCACTTCAAGTAGTTAACTTTGTTTATGCAGCCCTCAGCGTGGGTCTCTGACGTAGCGTTAGGTGGACAATCCGGTGAGTCGATACGCTTAATGGTCTAGCTCGGTGAGTACTCCACACTGTTCTCAGCATCGCTCCTTCAGTTGATGACTTCTCGAGGCCCCTGGGTTTCTTGTCACCCCACTCCGCCCCTTCCTCGGATCCGGACTTTCCGAACGGACGAAGTGTTGTTGTCACCACATAAACAGGGTCGAATGGTCAACATTCTCGAAACAGCGTGCATACATTTATTCTGTGTGGTCACGGTCCTTTGCTCGGGTGCAACCATAACTCATTTTGGGATATTTTGAATATGGGCTATCTCAGAAGAGATCCTTTTTGGAAAAGCTACGCCTCCTCCTGAAGAGGTCGTCGAATAAATTCAACTCAAGCTATTCAAACGTAACAACAATCTCCGACAAAACATGAATCTACTGGCCCATTCCCACATAATCAGGGAAGGCTGGCCGACCAACGGAACCAATAATCTGCATTTGAACGATATCTCCAATTGTCACATACTTCGTGTCCGGGCCTTCATTCTCAACGATCATTATATTTCCCGTACTCTCATCCCTCGCAAACGGCTTCAGAACTTCTGTACTGTTCGGGGTATATGCTTCCATCAACTGACCACTGATCCTGTCCACATTAGCGATGAACGACCAGTATAACGGATCGTATGCTGCACGCAAAGTCAGTCCCATATCCCCACCTACCCAAGTGCGGACGGCGCCATAC